CTTATTTTTGTGCTCAAATATATTAAATGTATGTAACAACTCATTAAGTACACTCAGACTGATTTCAAGTATGGGCACAGCCAGATTGGAGATGCTTCTACAAGTTTAGAGCTATAAAATTTAAGTGGAAACAATTCTTCATCTGCTAATGACAACCATGTATGTACTGCTATCATACAGCTTCTTCTGCATGCAGATGGAAGAAATATCCTTATCTCACTTTAAACAGAAACCTTATGCTAGAATTGAGCATCTCAATTACAACCTGAGGAAAACTTTCCAGCAAAACCCAGCGCTCAGAGGGCCAGTGGGAATCCTTTCCTTGGCTACACTGAAGCTGATTCCTCCCCTGAACTCCAAAAATCAGGGCTGACTTTACCAAGTACCTGTGTGTAAGGCCAAGCTGGCCTCAGGGACCAGAACAAACACATCCCTTAATGCAACACCAAGTTACTTCACACAGAGAAATTCACTGAGGCAACAATTACTACAAATAACATCACACACACAGCTGTATATACATTTATCCTTTTGACAAAACCAGAATGTTACAGCATTTCATTTGACATTTCTGACAGATTTCCAGTGGGATTTGGCAAATTTCTTTCCTCTTTTTGAGCTGCTAAACAGATTCATTGAAGTAGACAGCATTAGAAAGTAATGCCCCATCCAGCCCTGAAGATAAAATAGGTTTTGCAGGACTAACATAACAGGAATATTCTCCTCACCACATGCTCAGCACTGGGAGCAGACAGTGAACAACATGTTGCCAGTTTTGGGTGCTATTAGTAATGTGTGTTTGCTTTTTGTATATGAAAGCAAAAGTTCTTACGCAAAAGTTCTTACTTGTGGAAGAGGTTTTACAGCAACTTCTGTGAGCCAGAGAGAAGTTTGATAAGAGGATCCATGTTTACCACTGAAAGAATTTTCTACCAAGGTTGTTGACATAGAAACCAAGAAAGAAAGAAGGATAAATAGAGAAACCTGCAACTGCCTGTTCCAATAAGCACTTTGTCTCTCGTGACCAAGGAGTAAAGTGTAAACTTATGAGTTTTGTAAGAATGTATAAAAAGCATGCACACTATAACAAAGAGTTTGAAGCCTTCTGAAAATGGAGTGTGTCATTCTGTATTGTCTTCATCTCAACTACAACACTTACTCACTGGTAAAATGTTACATGTAGATCACTAATCTTGGGAGTTCATGTCACTCCCAAACTATTGCCCTTTCTAGAGCCCAAATATTTAGCAGAAGGTTATGAAGGGAGGTGTTTTAAATCAAAGTTCAGAGGAGGCTGTGCTTAACTCAGTGTGCAAACCTCAGCCAAGGGAATCCACTGCCCAGAGCTGGGACACTGTGACAGAGAATCTGGCAGAGCTGCTCTTCTGTCTAACTGCACTTTAAACAGCCTGGCACTGCATTCTCCTCTTGCCTGGGAGGAGCAGCAGCAAGAGGGTGATATAGGGAGAGAATACAGACTGAAGCAGCAGAGACAATGAAGCTTTTATCACTCACTGGATGTGTGCCACAGACACCAATTACATACATTTGACAGCAACCATTATAATTCCAGAGTCCTTGAACAAATCACAAGCAGAAAGGTTACCTTCCTGAAAATGCTCATTGCCATTAAATAAGTGACCCAGACTAGAGGATGAAGGCAGCACTTAAGAAAAAATTTGGGGAAAGGGTAGAGATGGAGAATATTATTACATGTAGACCTGTAAAACCCCATCATTTGTTCTGAAAAAGGAATTGCAGATTCACTGCAGATACTGGATTACAGTGTCTGCGAGTGCAAATCCTACAGACAGCAATGGCAAAACTGCTGAGACAAAAGACAAAGAATTTTTCTCTCATATCAGGGGCGAGACTTGACCAAACTTGGTGGGTTTATGGTTTTACCCTTCAGTTTGAAAATCACAAGGCATGCTTCCATATTTCTTTTAAAGTTTAGATTGCTGTGGAGGATACTGCCAAAGAAAGCTGCCATAGGTCAAACTCCACCATCACTTACACAACTTAATGACCATATCTAAGTGAAAGATTTGTATTTCATGAAAGATGCATTTCAATATCAAAGAGAGAGTTAAGCCATCTGCAAGTGGGTAGCTAAGGATCTCTATAAATTTCATCCTCTGTGAGCAATCATCCCATATATCTATCAGATAAAAACTTTTACCAAGCAACTGTACAGAAATCAAGGTCATTTGGTGTATGGCATTCTGGTATCTCCAGCATATTCAGTTATTTGGGATTCACCCTTCTAGAAAGGTCCAAATTGACTTTAACTGTAAAAGATACAGGCAGGCAGACGGCTCTTCCTTCTCCCCCACATTGAAAGTTTATTAAGAAAGTTTATTACTCAAGTTTATTTAACTCTTAATTAAGAGTTAAATTAATTGAAAGGAACTATTTGCATAAGAACAGTGAGTCAAACACATGATTCTGAATTTCTGTTCTGGGGTTAGCTCTCTTGAAACAGCAATTTCCTGAGGAGGACAGAAAGTTTCCAGGCTCTTTCCTGCTGAAATTTCTCCTCTGCCAGACACATGATTCAAGAAACTGGACACAGACAAACACAAAAATAAAATTTCTGTCTCCAGGTCGCCTTACAAATGTCACAACACACCTTTGAAAATGTCCATTTTCAGCTCAACACAAGCAAACTATATGAAGCAAAAGAAAAAGGAGGGAGGAAGAGAGAGAGAGAAGAGACATTGTCTCAGCCAATTTATTTATGGGAGCCTTTACAAAAAGAACCAGTAATAGTGGCAAAAAATACTGATGAAACAAGGCACAAAATCCAAAAGTTTTGTAGAATGACTCAAAGGAATACAAATGCTGTTCCCATCACAAGATGAGTTGCAGCAGAGTAAGAAAGAGTCATATTAGACCTGAATGTATAAAATGAGCATCTCTTATTTTATTGTTCTAGGCTTTTGCAAGATCCAAAAGGCAAAGATATTTTAATGTAACTGTTTCTGTATTCAGAAGAGAATGCTCACAGCTCAAAGGCCACAGTTTCTAGCTCTGAATCAGAAAGGATATCTTATAATTGCAAACATAAAAATTTAAGCTCCTTTCACTCATAAGGAGATGGACAATTTCAGAAAGCCAGACAGATTGCTAAGAGAATTCTCTCACATAATAATTCTCTTATTAATTCAGCTGAGTTTAATAAGTGAACCTTATTCTGTTCCCAAAAGACCACACCAGAACATCCACAGAAATAAATCTTCAGTCTCAATAGTCCAGCTCAAGATGGTGAGGCTAAAAAGCTTCATCAAAGAAATGCACTTATTTGTCACATCTGATTCAAAGCATACAAATTTAAGCAAGGAATAATACCAGATATTGTCCTTGGATGCAGTTTTTAGCCATGTCTGATCTTGGTGACTCACCAATATGTCTGGTAGAAAAGACATGAGCTGTTTCCAGATCCTAGGAGCACATTTACTGCCACTACAGCATTGGAGATGAGAACTTCTACATTTGGGACTTGGAGTCCCATAGGAATCAAAAGGACAAAAACTACATCAGTGTGAGATCAGAAATTCTGCTGTGGGGCAGGAATTCCAGAAGTTCATTAAGTTAGTAAAAAGATTAATGAACAACTAGAGCTATTTTTTACAGTTCTGCAAAGCCATTTTGCATTGTGCTCTCCCATTTTTTCATCTACCTCCAGTCCCATCACTAAGTTCTTTCTCTGCTCAGGTTGCATATTCTGCAGGGGAAAGAGGAGCTGAGAGACTGCAATACTTCCTCTGGTTTCCCTGCAGGCTGGCAGCAGGGATCCCAAGGCAGCAGTGCAAGCCCAGCTGCATCAGCAGTTCCTCCCAGTTTGAATGCAATATAAAGATAAAAACAGATAGAGAAATCTGGTGGAGAGTTGTGGTAAGGAGGTAGGAAGGAGTGGGATGGCAGAAAGAGAAGGGATAGAATACCCAAAGTCAGGGCAGGCTCTATTTGAGAGTGGAGAGCAAGACAAAGGGGTTACAGGTATTAGAAAATGCTGTTTGTGAGACAGAAAGAAACAGAGAGACAGGATGGCAGTGGTTATTTGTTATGAATGACTAAATATGAGTCTGAGCATTGGAAGGAAGCTATGCAAGTGTAAAAGTCTCCTACTTTGGGATGCATCCCCAAAACTTTAAATATGTAAATCCTGCACATGTCCACTGAAGGGAATGACAGGACTAAGAGACGTGTGTGCAAGGACAGCCCAGTGGAGAGGCAGCAGCTCCCACAAAAGGATCTTGCCATGGCAGCAAACACAGGAGAGAGGGGATGGAGCAGGAAGTAGGAGAGCTTGTGTGAAGCTGGAGGAACAGCAGGAAAGGGGAACACAAGAGCAAGAAGGAACTGACAGAGGGGAGGAAGAGATTAAGAACTTGAGGGAGGATGTACAGCCTATTGCACAGGCACAAAAGAAGGTAAAGGAAAGGAATGAAGAAGGGAAATATTTGTCACACAGAAAATACTCTTGATTGCATAAAAAGGCATAAAAAGATGGTGAAAAAGATAAGAAGAAATAGAGATGGTTGAGAATAGAAAAAAAGGAAGTGAGAAGAACAAATAAAAAGAGGAAGAAAACCGAATAAGAAAGATTTTATTAGTTAACAGAAAGCATAAATCTCAGTGAAGAGATTTAAAGAAAGGGCTAGAGCACAACAAACGATGGGTAGAACCAGAAATACTCTGGAGAACAGTGTTGATGATCAGTACTTCATCTCCCCTCTCCAGACCTCCATATTAACTCTCTTTCCCAGTGCACATTTGCACCTCCAGCTACAGCCCCTGTGCCTCCCTCAACCCTGGGCTCCGAGGATCGGCGCATGCCGAGTACCAGAGCTGAGGAGGGCAGGGAAAGCACAATGGAACCATTTTCAAAGAACCTTTTGAATATCAATGCAAAGAAGGTGAAAGTGGAACTTTCAGTGATCAGAGCTGTGGAAGGCAGCAGGGAGGTGAGCTCCTCTGGCAGCTGCTCTCCTTACCTTGGGTGCTCATGAGTGACCGGCTGTCTGGCTGCAGCTGCTGCAGGCTGCACTCTCTACGTCGCCTCCATGCAATTGTCAGCGTCTCTCCAGGAGTCCTGGAGAGGTTATTTGTGCTCTGCAGCTGTTGAAAAGTAAAGAAAACACAAGAGTAAAACACTCCCTGGCCCCCAAAGTACAGTAGTTTCGGGAGAATCAGGAATGAAGGAGGCTGGGGCACTGGGGGCAGAACGAGCAAAAAGCCACACAGAAAGTAAGAAAAAGTGTGTCAGAGACTGGGAGGGGCGGAGAAGGAAAATGCAAAGATCTGACAGGAAACCAGACTATAAATCTGCTTCGGGTTGAAAAAAAAAACACATTCTGCTCCCCAGCAATGGGGCCTGTTTGCAAATGACTCTGCAGGCAGGTGACAGCAGAGCCCTGTGACACCAGGCAAGCAAATCAGGAGGCACTGCTGCCCCTTCCCCAGGAGGAGCAGTGGGCAGAGGTGGCAGCACTGACGCCCAGCTCAGGCACAAGAAGCAGCCTGTCTGCACTGCCTCACTTCCAGCTGCACACACTGCCAGGCATGTTTTCCTGGGGCACAAGGAGATGTGCTTCATGCCAGCCTGGCTGGTGCTGTGCTCCTCCCAGCACAGGGCAGCAGCCCTGGTGTCTCAGGGCCCTTGCTGGTAGAAAGCAGGTGGGAGAGAAAAAAGAATGAAGGAACTGAAGAAAGCAGAGTTTCAAGAACAACAGTTCCAGGTAGAAGGAGTTCTGGGTTTTCCCAGATTTCAAAGGTTTTTCATTAAGCATCTATTTTATTAATAGCTCCTTTTGCTGAAAAGGTAGTCAACAAGGTTTACTTTATGCATCAGATGATTTTACAGTTGAAGGATGCTTTAAAGAACTTGTTTTCCAAAGGAAGTGTTTGCTGACAAAAAGAAGCTGCAGTATCTTGTATTGCTTCAATGCTGGATTCCAGGCTTAAGGCCAACATGTAAACCCAGCCCCTGGTGGGTCTCACAGAGGAATTCTTGCTGCAACCAGGACCACCCTGCAGCCAAACCCACCAGAGCAAAGTCACCCAGTCCCTGCCCTTGCTGTTCTCTGGGTCCTGCAGGACCAGGAGTCACCAGCACTTCTAGAAACATCCTTCAGTGCTCTGCCACCTGCTGAGGGATCCTGAGCCTGAACCCCTTGCATGGTGTGCTGGCTCTGGTACAAGGCACAGATGCAGCTCTACTCCTCATGCCCAAGGTTTTACCTTTACACTGGGCAGATGTGCAGAGGTGAAGCCTCACTGGAGTCAGGTCCTGGGTGTGAGAGGGACAGAGAGAACCCTTAAAGAAAGGATGAGTAATAAGGATGTCAGTGTGCAAGAGTGACTGCAAAGGTCACCAGTCCAGGTATAAGTGCAAACACATCAAATTACAGGAACAATAACAGGGGTTTCAGCAGAGTCACCCACAGGTTTTGCTGTCTGCATTACCTTCTGCTACCTCATGATTTTTGCAAGGTTCAGTTTTTCTTTCAGGGTGACTAGAAAAAAAACAACTATGTATGTATGGGCATGAATATCTGTTTATTTCCTGAGACAAAACAACAGAAATAAAATCAGAAACACTAGAAAAATAAGCATAAGCAACCTACAATAGATAATTTAGGAATGTGTGTGGGGGGAAAGCATGGTGACAGTAGTGGAGGGAGAAAATAAGAAAGGAAAAAGTATTTGGTAGAGAATAAAGAAAAACATAACAAATGGAAAGTAAGTACAAAAGAACAGTGGAAAAACTGTCAAAGGATAGAGCGGCATCAAACAGCAGAATAGAGGAAGTGAGGTGATAGAGTGAAAAGAAGAAATGTAAAGAAAATAGAGAAAACACATGGCTCAAAGTCTTGCTACAATAACACATAAAGTGTTCTCACCAAACTGAAAATCTGAAGCCTGAAAAAATTGTGAGGGTGCTCTGCTCCAATTGTCCCTTATTTTTTCTCTAATTTCACATGTTTGTAACTGTACCTGGACTGGTGAGAGTCTAAGTTCATCCATAGGATCATTCAGAAAGGGATTCTGGAAGAAATTCTAGTTTTCTATATCAAGAGCTCAAAGATAAAGGAAGGCAGGAATTTCTGTCTCCTGCTGAGCAATAGCAGAACTTTTGCTACCCCCTCTACCAATTATTTTTCCAGCGAGGACTACATTGTGATGTGTTACTTACATTCTTGTGCAACTTTACCAAAATTCACTGCTGAACAAACTTGGAGCTGCATGTGACAAGGTGCAGGAAAACCTCCTGCTTTGAGCACTCAAAAATCTCACCATGCAACAACTGCACAGGTGAGGTTCTGCAGTTTCTGACTGGGGGAAAGTCTGAAACTTTGGGTCAAACCTGTGAAATAGAGCTACAAGAATGATGGCTTACAATTCTTCCATCAAAACCAATACAAGTTACTTCTGAGTTGAGCTTTCTGCTGCTTTCACAGAGGAAGCTGATTTGTGCATGCAACAGAGGAACCATTTTAAGCACAACCAGAGAAACTAACTCTGCTGGCAGGAGGCTTTGTGGCTTCACTTCAATTTTCAAATCACAGATCTTCCACACATAGTTCCTAACCTGAAAGGAAAAACATGCGAAAAATTCAAATCAAAACTCACAAAGTCTCATTACAGCTTTCTCCTTCTCTCCTTGATTTCTTCAGCAAACAAGGTATCAGGCAGCACACTCTGAAACTGCCCTGCAAGCAAGGGGTTAGGTATCATTTGTTCCTGTTCCTGCTTCTGCTTTGTTTAATGCTGTAGATTACAAACAGATCAAAAACTACAGTAACTGTTTTAAAGAAGATGCCACATTTCCCTGCATTAAAGTGACACCACAGAGATGAAGCAATTATCCAGCAAAGCCTGAGCAGCTTTAAGGAATCTATCGGAGAAATCAAAGAAGCTAAAATTCTCATAGCCATAAAGGTTTTACTGGCAAACTGAGATTAGCTGAGCAGGATACAGTCATCAATCACAAAGCCACATGTAACTGAGCATCAACTCTCTTTTAAAAGAATTTACAATCTTAATCCCAGTTTTCAGGTGTAAAAAATTCTCTCAAGCTGTAACACAAAAGTGTTATAGTGAGGCTGCAGTTCCTTGAGGCTGGCAGACTGAAGTTATGTGTTTCACACAATGTAAGTGTAGAAAATAATTATGTTCTATTAGGCAACCAGAAAACATAAAAAACTTCAGATGTATCACCTAAAATACAGCAAAAAGCTGCAGAATTTGAACCAGGGGCTTTCCTCACCCAAACGTATGGTCTAGCAGCCTGACTGGTAGAGTTGTAAACAAGAAATCCTTAAAAAAATACCTGTCTCTGTCCTCTGTTTATTTTTTTATACAATAATGATAATTTAAAAAATTCCACTGGAACTTTCAGTTTAACAAGCTGTCCAGTTAAGGGGTAATTATAAACAATATGTTTTTTTGTTATTGGTGTTCGTTATGGCTTTTCAGATTTCTTTTATTAAACTTGGTGCAGGAAACAATAAATTGCACTTCTGTTTTCAGAGGAACTCCTCTCACCTGCAAGTCCCCAGGTGGAAGGACACAACTGGAATATTTGCTGTCTCCCTCTTTCCCAGAGACTTCAGAAAAAAAGGGTATATTTAGTTCCTAACAGTTGGTCTAATTCTGCAGGATCTGAGCCCTGGTGGTACAACCTGAACAAGGCTGCATTTTAAAGCCTTTGGTGGTGTTGTACCCTCCCTTCCTCCATGCTTTTACTTTGAGTTCCTTGCATAAAAAACCAGCAAAATATCAAGGTAATTCTATTAGGTGATCAAACAGTGGAGAAGATTTTGAGTTTTAGATATTCCTCCCCATTTTTGCTGGCCTCCCACACATTTAGCCCATGGGTGACTTTCACACCAGAACATCATTATTGGGGTCTACAGGGAAAGTTTCTCTCCTTTCTCCTTCTGTCTGTCCCACAGGAATCCCAAATGCTTCCTATGGGAATAAACTTCCCTCGGTGTAAGGTTCTCCTTGTACGCCACAATTTCTTACAGGAGGTGTTTTTAAAGACATGATTCATCAGCTCTAAGACAGAGCTGAAGCTGCTGCAGAACTTTAAATATCTGCAAACTGAAGAGTTAAAAAGAAAGCAGCATTTGGAAGTACAAAACACTAAAATGTCCAGCCCTTAATCTGCTCCTCCTTTTCTTCTGTTCCCTTCTTCTCCCAAGAGAGCCATCCCAGCCCATGAGGAGGCTGCCCTTGACTCCTTATCAGTGTAACAGTCCTGAAAATCCCTGGATACCAGAAAGGCATTTCACAAACTACTGATTTGAGAACTAATATATTGCATTTCTCCTGCATGCCTGAGCACAGCAGCACCGTATATATTGTTAACACAACCCTTCCAACTCCTTAGAGCAGAGAAACAGAAGTATTAAATATTTTCCCCGTTTTACATATTTTATGTTATCAGCCTTGCTCAACTATCCTTAGAGACTATCACTCTTACTTAAGGATGCTCACAATTTATCATTTTTCTCTGGAGATCTGACTTCCAGAACAGAAGTATTTCCCTATTCAATTCACCAGCCTGTGCATAAGCAGCTGTTAGTGTTCATCTGCCTTTTCTAGGCATTAACATCAAAAATGCCCCTTGATCTTAAAAAGTGACACACAGCGTGGTTTCTTTAACACCTTTGGGGGTAATGGTTTAAATCCAGCAGGGAAATGTTCTCATCTATAGGTTTATGATACACATTTAAACAGTGTTTCAATTGCCTCAACTATGAAATAAGATGACAGCCAAACATATATCAGAGGGGAACAGAGAGCATAAAATTCCCTCTTTCATTTGACAGTGTGGGGCTTACATGGTTTTGCACAAAATGTACAGTCCCTGTCAAGTTTGACAGTATTATGGGATCTACCCCAGTCACCTGTTAGCATATTCACCCAGTGTGGAAAATTTGGGCTCCAATCCATTCTGGGATCTGGATTCACAATCCATGGTACAAAAGACCAGCCCTCCACTAAAGGAAAGAACCCAGACCTGGGTTTTTGACAGGAAAAAGGGGAATAGTTTTAAGCTGAAAGAGAGTAGATTTAGATGGGATATTGGGAAGAAATTCCTCTCTGTGAGAGTGGTGAGACCCTGGCTCAGGTTGTCCAGAGAAGCTGTGGCCGCCTCATCCCTGGAATTGTTCCAGACCATGTTGGGCAGGGCTTGGAGCAGCCTGGGATAGTGGGAGGGGTCTCTGCCCGGGGCAGGGGGTGGGACACGATGTGCTTTAAGGTCCCCAACCCAAAGCAGTCTGGGATTCTACAGCTCCAGGATTCTATGACAAATTCTGCCCCTTCTTGAAGCCAAAGGGAGGAAACTCCAGACTCTCTGATGCTCTCTCCAGAAGAGTCAATGGAGTTGTTATTCCACCTGTTCTCTTTCCCTTACACTTACATGATTCATCAAAATTGGGCAAG